GGAGGGGTGGACGGGGAATCCTCTTTTGAGGCAAACCCTGTCTGCAGTCCCGAAGACAGAGGAGCGAAGGAGATTACTGGTACGTGTCAGACAAGGTGCTGATACTGCGCAGTGTTAATCTTCAATAGATTGGGGCTGCACTTGTCCCAGTGCTTACGGTGTCTGGCTTTTCATCGGTGTGTACATCCCCCTGTTACTCTGTACCTGTGCTGATTGTGAATGAAGGTCACTCAACTCTGCGGCAGTACCCTTGTTCAGTTAGCAGTGTTATTAAACCCTGATAATCTCAATTCCCCACGGTGTGATTGGAACCGCACAGGGTGGTTGAGCAGCCTTTCTGCCTGTTTGCAAATATCCAGCCAGCGCAGGTGTCCTTGAGCAAGACACTGAATCCCTACCTACAACAAAGGTGTTGTGTTGTTGCATAGTTTACCTCGATACTTGTAAATGTTTCACCTCTCAGCCAAGAGAGTGAAAAGTATCTTCAGCAGTCCATTTGATTGTGTACCTTGATTATTTTTTTTCTTCCTTGGAGATAACCATGACCTGGATGACTAAGTATCTTCAGACACAGGCTTTGTCCAAAAGCTGCAAATCCAGCCAAGTTGAATCGTGTCTGTCCATAAAATGCACAGCCTGTTCAGAAAGTGGAACATGGATGAGAACCTGTTTCAAATCAAGAAACATAGCAATTCAGTATTGAATCTAAATGGTCACATCTATCAGAGGGATATACTGAGAAAAAGTCTCATGGGTTGTGGTTGTTGCTGAGGCGGCATGCTCTTAACCCTTACATTTTAAACATGCCACGGTAAGAGTTTTGGGGGATTGTTTGGCCATTTTTGGCACCTTTGTTTCATCTTAGCACGTAGGCAGTTCATCCCATGTGGCAGAAATGGGTTAAGTGAAGGAGACGGAGAGAAGGAAGAGGTTTAAAGTGACAATCAGTGTGGTTGCAGGAAAAGGTAATCAGTGATTATGTTATATTATTAACACATGAGCTGGATTTTAAAGAAATAAGAATCTCATTAAAGGTTGTAGATGCACCAGACAGACAGACTGAGAAATGGAAAGAGACTCTGGGACAGGAGGGGTTTTTGTGCGTGTCAGAAGAGATGAAGCAGGAGATGAAAGTGGATGAAGAAGTAGGAGTTTGTGCGTGCGTGCTTGTGTTGCCTGGAAGCAGGTGGATTTGGGGGACTTAAAGGTAGATGAGGAGACGGAAGGGCAGCACAGATAGGAGGTAGCCAGCTGGGGCCAGATGTGAACTCTATCTCCTCCCCCTGCCCTTCTTCTTCTGCTTGATCTGACCACCTGCTTTCTCTCTCACACTCGCACACAAACAGGCCACCCACCCAAGTTCAAGTTTGTAGAGACTTACTGACACGACTCACAAAACATCTTCGCCGAAATAACAACCTCATCAAAGATTACTGACACATTTTTCTCTTGATTTGTAGTGCACCGGGCATAAACACAAGCACACACACTTCCTCCTCATCAGTCTGGTTCTTCGAGCTCTCACGCGGGTCTGTTGGTACCAGGAACTCTCTGGTATATTGTGGTTTGATCCAAAGCCACAGAGGACAACAGATGACCAGTAACAATAGGCCTCAGATCAGAGAGGAACAGAGAAGGTCACTGTTGGAAATGAGATCACATTTACTCGTGTGTGTGTGTGTGTTCGTTCGGTGGTTGCTATGAGGCAACAGCAATCTTTTGAACGATGGCAGAAGTGTCCTGCAGCAGAAAGGAAGACCCTGGGACAAATTGTTAGAAATAGGGAATGACCAAATCCACATGCACTAGGGCTGATGCTAGCATGCAGTTAGCTTAGCATAAAGACTGGAGGCAGAGAGAAACATGACTTTGGCATTTAGATTTGTGTACGAATTAAACAAAAGGAGATATAAGATGTGCCTTTTTGGTCCATTCTAGGTTTGCCCAGACTTTACAAACAGTGCTAGGTTAACCTTATGCACAATATACCCATTGCCTCAGCTTTTGTAGTGAGGACAGACTTTGACATTGTGTTATATTTTTTGCACCGAGCCCTTCCTCTTGTATAACTATCTTGTAACGTGTCGGCGTCAAATAGCTGGTCAGGTTCCCCTTGTGCAGCTGTTGTGCAGGTAATTGCTCGTAGGACGTTGAGGTGACTTGTCAGAGCCTTGCAGTTGCGGCTTGTTAGACTGAGTGTTATGTTGTTGTTTTTTTTAAATTTGTGGTCAGAATAATTGCCCAGGGAAGAAGTAAGAAAAAAAACAACCCTCAGTTTGTGCTGCGGACCACGTCAGGAAAGGGAGGAGGAATAAAGCCAGGCGAGGAGGCTTGTCGAGCTGTGTGTGGATTCCTGCAAATTGTCCGGATGAAGAGACACTCATGTCTCATTATCCTTTTTTTTCTCTTCTCTCTTTCTCCTTTCCTCTATTCATAGTCACTCGTCTCTTTCTCTCTATTTTTGTCTGGTTTTCTCTCTTTATACTGCTGTGTTTGACTCCCATCCTCCCTCATTTCTCTCTCTTGCCTTTGCTCCTACCGTCCTGTTTTTTTTTTTTTTTTTATCTGTGCCATATGCCTTAAATCGCCTTGCCTTCCGCTTTTCTCTCCCCAGTCTGGGATCAGTGGCATCTAATGCTTTCCACTCTGCCTGATTAAGTCAGCACATGTACCCTCTTTACATTATCACTCACACACACACTCATGCACGAGCGTCCCCACAGACCTAATCAGCCTCTCTCTCTCTCGCTCTCTCTCTCACTCACACACTCACACACTCACACACACACCACTGTAGACCTAATGAAAAAACATGAGCTCTGTTAAAAAAGAAGCCGAGATGGACAGTCAGAGGATAGAATGAAAGAAGAGGCAGAAATAAAAAGAGATGGAGTGGGTGGATTGAAAATTCATTAACAAAAGCCACCAGTCGCTCTTAATGCCTGTTTCCAGTCCAGAGATATTAATTGTTTCCAATCAGCGTTAGTAATATCGCGCAGGGATGCGGTGGGAGGGAGGAAGAGTTGCAGGGAGACAGAAAGACGAGGTGAGGCTAACTAGTCAGAGCGAGGCTGGTATTGAAAAGGCTCATTCAACATGCTGATGCGTTCGTACAGCTGGAACATTACCCAACAGGCATGAAATCCTCTCTGTGTGTTGAAAACTGCAATTCAGACACACTCTGTTAGCCACCTAGCGTTGCTCTGGTTACCTGTTATTAACACCACTAAATGCACCTAAATGGATGCATTGTGCTGTAATGCACCTTTGTATTACATTACTCTGCACTCATTTGTATTGGCTAAATAGCCCCAGCGCCTGGCATGTTTGTGTGTGATGTGAATAATGCTGGACTCTTAAATCTGCTGGGTGTGTGTGTGTGTGGGCGGGCGGGCGGGCAAGTGCTTGAGGGAGATAACGCGTTAAGTGAGTGAAGGAAATAGCGAAGATGGGATTCATTGTGTCTTACGCGTGGTCGTACGCGCACGAGATTATGGCGATGAAGTCTCCCGGCAGGGACTATTCCCATCTACAGTTCTCCATGTAGTCTAATGAGAAGCTGTTTCCGTAGTTACCAGGTGTGAGAGCCAGCAGCTCATAATGTCCTGTGGTGAGGAACAAAGGACGTGGAGCTGGAGGGAGATGGAGATAGAGAAATGTTGGAAGTAAAGGCAAAAGGGATGAAAGCGGGGTGGAGGACACTGGAGAAATTAAACAAAAAACCCTTCATATCTGGTGTGAATGATCAATTTAGCCGTGTGTGTATTGATGTTTGTGCTTGAGGGGCTTGCTGTGTGTATGTGTGTGTGTGTGTGTGTGTGTGTGTGTGTGTGTGTGTGTGTGTGTGTTACCTGTTGTGAGTGAAGACACCGAATCTTTATAATGAGCTAAGGGACCTGAACAAGAATCCGTTGAAATCAATCTCAACTCAAGTGGTGAGAACAGTGAGGTGGTGCCACGCTGTTAGTATCTGGTCAGATCATATCGTGCACCTTTTGAAACAAAGTTGGCTTGGTTTTTATGCTTTGGTCGAACATCAACAGCTAGATTGAATTGAATTTATGTATGATGTATCATCTCATTTTCAAAGGGGTCTTGCAGCATATATGTAGATAAGAGCTTTGCTTTATTTGTGTGAAAGAAATAGGACTTAGGTTGAGGCTTTTACTCAACCTGAAATGTCTGAGTCGCAAATGTCTGTAGGGTAAATGGGAAGAAGTTAGACAATGAGGGTATATTATTATGCTCATGTCAGTGTGTTTGGTAAAAGCTTCTCCTAAAAAAGAAAACAACAACCTTGCAACACCCGATATTCACTCAGTCACATGCTTCGGCCTTGTTTCATCCATATTCTACATATTCATTCTAGTCAAACCAGCGTAACACAGTCACTAATCTAATTATAAAACATGATCTTTCACCAGATCAGATAATACAGACGTGTAGTTGTCGGGAAGCCCTGATGGAAGTTAAACATTTTTGTCATGTTATTGGTCACATCAATGTAGTTTTTAAATATAATGACGATCAAAAGAAATATGAACATGACTGTAAAGATAGAAGACTACTTGAGAACATGCACTAGATCTCCTGACATTATACAGAGTAAAAGACACTTGTTTACTTGTGTATGTCACAACATAAAAGAACCTTATCTCTAGTTTTAGAGTCTGCGAGTTGCGTAACTTGACATTCTTGGGCCTGAAGGTTCAGTTGTCCTCCAGGTTCGGTGAATGACTGTCACCTGATCAGAAAAGAGGGAGATGTCGCAGCTGAGGAGAAAAAAGTTCCTGCAGCGAGCACCTGTCCTTCACACTTTTATTCACTTAACTATTCAGTTCGTTGGTTTATCTGTGTGTCTGCATTTCTACGAGTAAAAAGCAATTTGCTGCTGTTCTCAAGGGTTATCAAACCTTTAAAAGCTTTTCTCATTACTGCTCTTTGTTTTCTGCGGTCGTGTAATTCTTTGTGTGTCTTTTTTTTTTTTATAATCCTGCCAGATCTGATCCACTGCACCAATGAGATGAACGTGAACATTCCCCAGCTGGCGGATACGCTGTTTGAGCGCACGGCTAACTCCAGCTGGGTGGTGGTCTTCAAAGCCCTTATCACCACCCACCACCTCATGATGTATGGCAACGAGGTAGGAGGCTTGCACACAAACAAAAACCCCTCCAGGGCAGCTACGGCAGTAAGTTGTATTATTACTCAAGTCTGTCTCGCCCACACGTTCATAAATACAGACACGCATACACATTTGGATCATTTGTCCATATCAGCATTAGAATCAACGGGGGTGGGGGGGACTGACGCATATGGGATACAAACAGCGTGTACAGCTACTGAGAACATACACTTTGGACACATGGAGTGAATAATCGAAATAGCTGTAGAGTGCGGAGAAATTAATTAGCTCAGTACGAGCTGGCAGTGAGATTGGGGACAAGGATAGAAGCAAATGAATAATCAAATAAATTAACTTAATAAAAACATGGTTGAAAGCTGGCAGAATAACACGGCCCCTCTGTGGACTTGCAGACTTTCAAACTGCAATAATTGGAAATTAGAATTCAAGCAATCCCTGCTCGGTTTGGGAGAAGTTTTTTTTGGGATTTGTTTGATTAATTGTGATTTTGACCAGACATTGTACTTGTTTTGCACCAAGAGGTCTGATCAAACCCTGCGTCAGCAAAATGTGTCAATTGATATGCGGCAGCGCAGCTTTTGAAAGGAGAGAGGAGCGATTAATTCAGAGAGAGTTGTTTCATTTCTTGTTCTTTTATTAATTTCTAAGAAGATGGAGATAGAGCGCGCTTTGTTCTTCGGATAAAATATTGTAGCTTGCATTTACATTAATCCTCTAGTTTGCAGATTTTAAAATCCAGCCCCTTTAAAACAAAATTGATAGAACACAGTACATTTTTACATTCCAATATAGATGATACTCAGATGGCCTGGTGCCATGTGGTGCTTACTATACTGGTATTTTGTTGAATGTATATTTTATGAACACAGCAGACCAATCGCAATGTGTTGCTTTGGTGTGACATAATTATGTCACAAACCTAGAAAATGTATGATCCCCTGACTATCTGCAGTAGTTTGTGTGATATCAGATGGATAGATAGATAGAAAGATAACTTTATTGTCTGTCCCAAAACAGTGACAGAAATTCTCCTTCGACAAGGTTAATTTAAAACACACATTTAAACCTACATAAAAACAGCAGATGCACAATGTCTGTTTTTGTTGTTCAGAGTTATTATTGCAGACGGTATGAAAGATTTCTTGGAAATGTTTTTCCGGGCCAGTGGAACTTATATATATATATCGTCTGCCTGATGACAGTAACTGGAAAGAGTGGTGGAGAGGGTGAGTGCGGTCCCCTGTGATCAGGGTGGCCTTCCTGATCACAGAGCGGTTGTATAGTTCAGATAAGGGGGTTAGAGGTGAGCCGATTATCTTACTGCAGTGGTTTATAACCTTACTGTACCCTTACTGTTGTGTACTTTCATGTCACAAAAGTCTATTTTTGCTATCTATTTAGTGCCACATTTATTTTCTGACTAGAGAAGATTGAGCACAAAGTATTCCTTTTTATGCTTTGTTTTTTTTGTACGAATCAAACAAACTACAAGATATAGTTGGTGAGCTTTAGAAGTGTGGGTTACCTTTGAACAGAGCCAGGCTACCTGTTTCCCCCGTTTCCTGTCTTTGCTCTAACCGAAGCTAACCAGCTGCTGGCCGAGTGGCATTGATCTGCTCATCTTACTTTTGCCAAATACAAGCAAGTACAACATATTTCCCCAAATGTCAGAACTATTCGTTTAAAAGAGCAACTCATATGCTGCAGGTTGTATCCCATTTTTGGTAAACCTCTTACAAAATCCAGCAACTTCTGTGAAATTGTGGGTAATTCTGCTAATGTGTGCAATACATGCCTTGAATGCCTAAATACTATTATATAATATATCCTTCTTGTACACAAACACACACAGCAGTCAAACACACCCCAAAATGGACACACCCTGCCCACATTCCTTTGAATTTTCATTAAAACAGGGAAGCATTGCTTCCTTGTTTAGTCATCATCACTTGGTTTGACATTACGCAATACATCCTTTTGTTGGTTCCTTTGTTTATTACATTAATCTAAACGCCTCTGAAAAGAGAAAAACGGGTGTGAGATCATTGTGTCTTGGTGTACGAAATCAGCTTCTAAACTCACTGACACCCAAAACAGCAGCCAGGCTGATCTCACTGCTGCACAAATAGTATTTTAGGTGCAGGGAATTAGTCAAAGTACTCCAAAATTAGATGTTATGTTGGCTGTATAGGTGTGTTAGAGACAAACTGGCACCTTCAGTAATAATGCTTACATAAGCAAAGACCTCACATACAGTTTAGAGAGACATCAGGTCATCAGATCACTCCATGCTAAATGTTTGCTCAAGCTCTGGAAATTCCCGCAACATTTCTGATGAAGCAAGTCATGCAAAGTAGGTCACTGCAGAGCAGCAGGAAGTGGTTCAGAGGTATTCCCAGGCTATGGGCTGATTTATCTCTTAGCTGTCGCTGTCAGATTGAACCTTTTTGATGTTGATGTCTCACCCAGAGTAGTAACTTAATTATGATTGCAACACTATGGTAATTCCTAATTTCTGCATAACCAACATGACAAGCAGCTCGCAGCAGGGTCTGCAGAGATCACAACTACCGTGTCCCACCTCTATTCCTGTTATCGCAGATAATGAAGATTAAAATTCTAGTCCACAATAAGAGATTTTAAGCTAGTTAAGATCTTTTTTTATTATTAATATAGCATTGATAGACAGCATTTTTTATTGTCTTTTGCAGTCTATAACAGAAGCAATATTATTATTATTTTCCACAATGCCCTGTGGGCAAGTAAATTAGTCGAGCTATAAAATGTGAAGGGTGCTTCATAGTAATCTTTTCCCTCAAATTAATAACACAAAACCATACTCTGAATACTAAAGCATTAAAGTTACTAATGATTCAAATACAATGGGCGGTTAAAATGCAATGTGTCAGTATGCTGCTGTTTAGTGGTTATTAATACTGGAAACTACCAATATGATGTACAGTAATTTAAAAGCCATAATACAAACACCCCTACTGTACTTACAGCACTGCATGTATGGTTTAGCTCCACAGAGTGAGTCTCCAGGCTGTAGCACACTGTTGTGTGTGTGTGTGTGTGTGTGTGTGTGTGTGTACTCACCAGCCTGCATTCATCAGGCCTGTCAGGACACTGGTGCTGACTGAGGCTCAGCGACCAGGTGTCCCTGCTCCCCCATGGCCGTCCCATCCATTACAGTCAGAGCTGAGAGAAATCTGGCCGTAAAATTAGAAACCACAGACCCACAGAATTGGGGTCAATAGACTGTACATTCCTTTTCAGATCAACACACCGACTGGTTCCAGCTTGGCCGGCACACTGAAGATGGCCTTGTACAATGTCCGATGAATGCTCCGATAGTAAACAACGTTTACGCTGATGGAAGTAGAGTGGCTGCATACACATCAGACAGCTTTCTTGATGGGAGCTGTAGTGACTGATGCAATTTTTATAGTGACAAGAAAGCGCATTTGTCACATAATTTAATTTAAAGGGCTACCATAGTATTTTTTTTTTTTATGTAGTGGAAATAAGAATTCACATAGCTGACTCTGAAAGCTGATTTGTGTCACTTTACATATTAGATATCAGCCCACTTTTGATATGATGAAGGCTCCACCCTGAAATGTTCTTTGCCTGGGGTCACCCTGCCTTAAAGAGCGGCTAAGATGAAATAATTTCATTTGTCTGGGTTTCTGTGACAGTGTTTTGGTCGTCCAAGTACTCTGTGCTGCTCTTTCAGAGGCTTTTCTACTGAGCATAAAAATGTCCAAGTTAACCTTTTTCTTTTTTTTTTTTTTTTTTTTAAGGAATGATATCAACTTACAATGTGCAGGGTATTTCAGATGGAAGCTGAGTACAGAAAAAGAGAAAAAAGAAGGTGGTAGAGAAGACAGAAGATGTAGGAATGGAAGGAAGGAAAGAGACATATAAAGACAATAGTTGGGAGGTAGAAAAGGAAAGGAGAAGGGAAAGAAGGTAAAGAAGGAGGTAGAGAATAAAAAGACGAAGTAGGGAAGGAAGGGATGCTGTGGAAAAGGATAGGATGATGAAGTAAAGGAGGATGTGAAGACGTGATGCACATCACACAAAACTTAAGTGTTTGTAGACTACCACAGTTTGCCTCTCCTCACTCTGCATTTCTCCCAAGTCTGTCGAGAACAGCTGTGAATCAACAGGCTAATATCTGAGCATATTTAAATTCAGTCCACTGCTGTATTTATTGTACGTTGGTCTGGATGTCGGCAAAATGCAGCTGTTTTAAATGCAGCCTATTTTATGTGCCTGTTCAAGGTAATATATTCAGCCCATCCTTTCAAAATCGAATGTGGGAATTCACCGTTCAGAGCAAATAGGAGGTGAATTAACTTTTAATATCTCTTCTTTGCCTCAGCTGCCATATTTGTCAAAGGGCTTGGGAGAGAGAGAGAGAGAGAGAGAGAGAGAGAGATATACTCATTCGGTTCATCATCTCCAGTTTTTTCCTCCCTGCCAAGAACAAATCCTGGCTCACTCCCCAGTGACACTCTGAATCTTATGAGCGATCAAGAGTCTGTCAATATCTTTGATCAAGATTCCACTTTTGTGCTTGTACAAAGCCACTCTTTTAAGAGTATATCTCAAAGAAACACCCCACTACAGGATCTGGAGTTTGCACCACATTGTTCCTACTTCTGTGTGACAATAAGTGGGCCTTAGTGGGCACTAACTAAGCAAATACATAAAATTTGAATTTATCAAAGGGTGCTTCTACTTCCCAGCCTTTGTATGTTTTGTACCCAAAACAAACTTGCAGGAAACCCCAAACAATGACTGGGGAAGCCGTTTTCCAGCCCCTCACCCCCCCGGCCTCAGTGCTCACATCCCTGCCCTCTTGGGAGCTCCATCCCTGGACTGGAGAACCCGCTCTACTCGCTCTGCTGGGTCTCGCTCTGCTGGGTCTCTCTCTTGGGAGCATCTATGCTTCAACCACCTGTGACCTGAACAAGGTTATAAGAGGGGAAGGTTAATTTGTTCGCAGAATTAAGAGAATGGGCGTAGGATGTTGC